CACAGAAGATAAGTTTCGCTCACTGCTGTTCGGGATCTTTCAGAATAGCCCGAACAGCAGTGTGAAGCCTGCCGGAGGTTCGGCTCAGCCGATCCAGATGTTGGAGCATGTTCGGCTGATCCGAAGCCACACGAAGCAAGCCGATATACGGCTTAAATCAGCCGCACCAGCCTGAAGTGAATAGCTGAACAGTGTTCGGCTCACTTCACTTCTGATCGCTCATTCACTCGGCTGCCCTCGGCAGCTTTGTGAATAGACCCCATTATTATTGGCAAAAAGACATTTAAAAAAAAATTCCATTTGGTTGGGAGCAGTGATTTTGATAATGCTTAAAAGGACAACATTAAAAATGGCCAATTCCTTCAAATGACATGCTTGGGGGATGACCCGAACCTGCCAGTGAAGGGGGCTCATCTGTGCAATGTAATTTATCAACAATGCCATTTAAATTGCTGGAAAATGTCTGCCGGCCACTTCCTTCTGTGTGTAAACAAAGGGGTCGGGGATTCCCTTCATCTATAGCAGACCCTTATACTAGATGAAGGTCTACTATAAATGTTAAGGTTGGGACCCCCCCCCCCCCAAAAAAAAAAATGACATGGGGTTCCCTCCAAATTCCGTATTTTAAGTTGGACTCCACACAATGACATGGGATCCCGAACATTCATAGCAAGCTTTTTGGATCTGAAATAAATTGTAAGGGGGAACCCCTCCAAAAACAGTTGATATGGGCCCCCCAAAATCCACTTTCTGAGAATACAGCAGGGTAACCCAGGACATGCATGTGCCCCCTCTTCCAGAACCATAAGAGGCCACATGGGATAGGTGCATTACCAGGGGGGACCCCCCCTAACAGGGCAGGCAACTTGTTCTTATGTTGCCCTCCCCACAATCTTGACCCCTTAGGATGGTCCCGCAGATGCCAGTGGTGGTGCTCCTTGGGTTCCCAAATGCATTCTCAGCATTTAAACGTGGTTAGGGATCTGATCACATGATCTCCTCTGAATGGGAGGATTGACCGACCTGAACTCTGACCCGCCTCCTCAGCACATATCCCTCTATATATATATCAATAAATATATTTTCAGATCTCTTACTGGAATTGCACACAGGGCTGCATCTCTTCTCACCTGTGAGGACAAAAAACACCATTGGAAAATTATATACTGAGCTTAGGGTGACTGGAGGATGCTAGTTTGTGTCCTCCCGTTACCCTAAGGAGAACTATGAGGAAAATCCCGGACACCATAGTTCTCCTTTAATACTCAGTATGCTGCTTCACATTTCTGCAGACTGGGGTGTCCGTCGTTTGTCAAAGAAGAACAGAAAGTAGGGAAAGAAGCGCCACAACTAAGTCAAACCTGTCTGGAGGTGAGGGACCACGTGTAGTGGGGGCCTGATGGGTGAATTATGAATGGTGCGGTATTTGGGAAAGACGTGATCACACCTTGATAGTCCTTAACGCTGCTACTCACACGCCATCAACCTGAGGATAGTTAGCAGCTGCCCAATTTTGGACATTACTTCTTCCTCTATCAATTGAACGCTTAAACCCACAAATCTCACCTCACCACAAGACCTAGGACTCCAGGATCATCACCTTTACCCCCCATCGATGACATCGCGCCACCACCAATTGCACGGGGAGTTGCTACATATCACATTTGTGATCTACAACTATTGATGTTTCACCTCTTCATTGTCTTTATCTCTCACTCTGGTCACCTCCGCCATCAACCGGAAGATTCCACACCGCCAACCCCTGTATCCATCCTTGCCATCATGTCCTTCCCAAATACCGCACCATTCATAATTCACCCATCAGGCCCCCACTCCATGTGGACCCCCACCTCCAGACAGGTTTGACTTAGTTGTGGCGCTTCCTTCCCTACTTTATGTTGTTGAAATATGTAGCTCCATCCACCCAAAATGTTCTTAATATTATCTCTTAATTCTTAATATTATCTCTGCAGTTCAAATGTACTGTGATGTAATACCACATTATGGCCACTAGACGGAGGCGAGGTATTTTTTATGCTCCTTAGCTCCATCTAGTGGGCAACATGTAAGCACATGAGTGCAGCCAGAAACCTCGTGAGCATCATTATTGATATTACTTTTGGGTAACTTGACAAAGTTATGAGCATTTAAACATATCGATAACCGAAATCCTACCTGTGCTAATTGTTTGTAGTGCAACGGCCGGCCTATTCCACCCATGGGGAGGGTGGTAACTCATTTTGATCTTAATAGTATAAAGTTGAGCTCCCCAATCAACTCTTGGTCATATCTAAGGACTCAGGTCTTTGTTTGCGGAGGTATGATCCACATATTCCATCCCATCCCGGGAGCAGGAGAAATACTTTTTCTATTATTCCTTTTGCTTTTAACACTGTCCGGGTGTGTGTGTCTTACTTTGTAACTTCTCTTTTATTTAAAAGGAGAACTATGGGGTCAGTGTTTTTCCCCATAGTTCTCCTTAGTGTAACGGGAGGACACAAACTAGCGCCCTCCCGTTACCCTAAGCTCAGTATATAGGGAGCTACAGCTCGTAATAACTTCTGGTTCCTTTTTATCCTCTGCCATCCCAGTGATATTACATGACAAGCGAGGTTTCTCACAGGCCTGTACATTGGGTGGTGGCAGCTTGGACATCAGTGTGTGTGTGTGTGTTGTTGGTTGGATTGGGGAACTTTGGGATCTCATAATCACTTTCCTGCATTGTGGTCAGTTTCTGAGGATGTGCAATGGACGGTGTTACCTTGTCCCTCATCCCTGTGCCCCACGATAGTGATAGATATAAAATGTTGGATTTCCAATCACATTCTGTCTCGGTGACAATGGTCACTCCAACAAATAGGCTCAATTTACCTCAACGGGGATACAGACAGCAATGAAAACCTTGGGAGGAGTAGGACAGAGGAACTGGTTCCAAACATAATTTATTTTTGCAATGTGGAGCAAAATCTGTGATGCGGAAGTGCAATGATTTTACTTTGGCAATTCTCAAAGATGAAAGGGCCTCAAAAGGACACATTGGGGTTAGAGGGTGTAGGAGAAGAACACACCCATGATTCATTAACATGATAAAACCGGCTTTATATCGGGATTAATTGCACTTCTAAATGCAATAATCCTCCAGAGCCCACCATTCCTTCCCATACAGTCTTCTGAGCCCTTGTGAAGGGACATTTGGCAGCCCCTGAAGATGTAAGGAACACTTTTCGACTCCTAAATTATTGATCTGGCTCCTATACTCTTCCTACATCCCCAAAAATTAAATCCGGATGGTGGGTCTAACTAGGGATGCACTGATACCAATATCAGTATAGGTGCCGATACTGGACATTTTAACAAGTACTTGTACTCATGAAAATGCCCCGATACTAAAAGTCAATACCGGCACCCTCCACGTCTGCCCCTGCTGAGACCCTCCACATCTGCCCCTGCTGAAACCCTCCACACCTGCCTCTGCTGAGACCCTCCATATCTACCCCTGCTGAGACCCTCCACATCTACCCCTGCTGAGACCCTCCACATTTGCCCCTGCTTGAGACCCTCCACACCTGCCCCTGCTGAAACTCTCCACCTGAGGCATCAGGCTGGCACCTTGGAGCAAAGTATGTAGCAAATTCAAATACTATTCTGCATTGCTGTATAATCTACTGCTGGGATTTGTAGTCCCTTATAGCTGGTTGTATTCTGAATTGCTGTATAATCTACCGCTGGGATTTGTAGTCCTCTATAGCTGGTGGTATTCTGAATTGCTGTATAATGTATTGCTGGGATTTGTAGTCCTCTATAGCTGGTGGTATTCTGAATTGCTGTATAATGTATTGTTGGGACTTGTAGTCCTCTATAGCTGGGGGTATTCTGCATTGCTGTATAATGTATTGCTGGGATTTGTAGTCCTCTAAAGCTGGTGGTATCCTGCATTGCTGTATAATGTATTGCTGGGATTTGAAGTCCCTCTACAACTTGGAGTCAGTGACAGAACTAACAGGGTCTCAGTGGTTGCAGATGTGACCGGGCCCTGACACTCCACTACTGTCCTAAAATAGTCTGTATGGTTTTAGAAAAACTGTCACATGACGCTAAAAGAAAGGTAACAGTAACAGTGTAGGTGAGTACTTGAGGAAAAGTATCAGCGAGTACTCGGTCTGGAAAAAATGTTATTGGTGCATCCCTAGTTCTAACCCTTCCCCAATTGGAATGTACAACATTTTCATGTACGAAAGCTACCGAACAGCTATCTTCAAATCGTGATGGCATTGCTCATCAAAGAAACCAACTGTGTGTTGTTCATGCCTGGGGCATGGCGGGGGAGATGATCAAGGTGACATTCCTTCATCTGGACAGGACATCAAGCTTTGCACCCTGTGGTGTTGATAGGAGTGTATGCGCATTGGGAAGACACACTCAAGATATCCTACTTTGCATATGAAGGTGACTGGCCATTGTCTAAAGATCAAAGGACAAGGTGTTGACCTAGGCCAAGGAATGATCTGCAGTACGATGGTGCCCCCTGCTGGAGGAATACAGTGCATGTGGACAAATATGAAGGACCATGCCGATTGGCCGAAAGACATTTGAGGGACATGCGGAATTCTGGGTAAAGGGGGTGTCGATGTATGTGTATGAATGGGTATAAAAGTCAGTGCGCAGCAATATTGCTCTGTCTTTGAGCCCCGCCAGGATATAGGAACCAGAGGACGGACTTGCTGTGTAAAGTATTCTCTTGATTGTCTTATTGTATCTGTTTGTATCTTTTATTATGTTTATTTAGATTTGTGTATAAATAAATAAGACCATTGCTTCTTTTAACCATTGTATCGTTATCATCATTGGAAGCAGAGAATAGCAAGTTAGCTTATTTCAGGAAGCCAAGGCAATTTAGATATTACACCCACTTCATCCAAAACTAGAAAAAACCTTTTACCTGACATCTCACCCCTGAAGCAGAAACAAATACGGTCCTAGTTTACTCAACCACCCCCATTTCATGGAACTCCACCGCTCGGCAGCCACTGATCTGGAACATTTTTGAAGAATGGAAGGCATGTGGAGAGGCGGATATATAGTGGGATGTTGCTCTCACCTCCTAAGTAAGCACAGTTGAAATAGCTGCAGAGTTGGCCGGTGCTCTTCAGCTCATACGTGGTTCCAGTCTGCTTGATCATATTGAATGTTTCTCCAACAGGAATAAGGAATTCTTCTTCCTCAAACTCTGATAAGTCGTTGATGTCCACACCATAGCAAGTAGATATGATGAAAAATGGGTTCTTCCCAAAACCTTCAGCAGTTTTTATGTTTTTAGATGAAGATGTAAACCGATCGAATCGCAATTGTTTAGCAACACTTACAGCACCAATCTTCGCCCCCCCCCTGTAGACCCGAGACTCCTTGGCGCAGCCTGTTCTCAGCACCTGTAAGGCTCGGGTCAGGTAAAAGTGAAGAGCTTTAAAATGGAAATTGTTCATGTAGAAATCTCTAGACTTTCCCGCGATTTAAATTTTTCTGTTCAGCTGACTGTAGATGGGATACGGCTCTTCCATTGTGTACAACACAACCGCTATGCCGTACTTGTCATCAAAATCACTTGGAAGGTTTAAACCTTTCCTGTTCCCTGTGTTGTTCCAGACCTCGCTAGCGTTATTCCACATTACGGAGAACTCGTCGTATTTCAGCTCTTCCGCTAGTATTTTTGGCATCTCCTTCTCCATCTCTTCTGCACTGCCGATGTACTGGTCATCAAATGTATTCGGCATCATGTCCAAAACTGTGGCTTGCTGGCTCATCTGTGAACATAAATATTTGGAAAATGACTTAACAGAGGGTCAGCTGGTTTATTCTTGGGGTCAGTCAGAGCTCAGTGACCCCTTGAGGTGGACAACCCAGAATATATTTATAATAAGAGAGAATTATGGTGTAGAGACTTGTTTGAATGAATGTTTACCAATTCCCTTTTCACATTTTTGAGTGATCTGGAGGTAGCAGTGGGCTGCAGTAAGCCTGGATGTTCTTATTCAGTATGTATTGTGGGGGTATAGCTCGAATGGGGGATCACCTTCCCTGGGAAAAACAGTCCAGGCAGCAAAGTTCTGTTTCTCTCTGAACACATCCAACATGTAGCTCTCTCAGAAGGCTGTCTGAGTCCCAGGCCAGAGCAAAACCATGTCTCAGCTTTCCCCTTTTATCTCACCTGGACAAGCATTCATCAAGCAATCAACTATCCAGGTGAGACCCAAAGCCCGAGCTGGACTATCCGGACCCAAAGTCAAAGCGAAACCCTGGTCAGGGTTCCGCTATTCATGCACATAGGATAGAAAGCGAGGGGAAACATACCGCCCCTCAATGATGTCCCCTCTCCTTATGTCACAGTATGCTTAAGCACTGAGTGTTATTTCCTCTGCTAGATGCTCTTAAGCATGCTGCAGGATATGTTTGAGGAGTAACAGTTTGTGTTATGGGCCTGGTAATGTGTGCTGGGGAAATGTTAGATATTTGGGGTGGACTTTTCACCTGGGCTAAGTTTTTAGGAGGTTTTGTGTCCACTGTCTGGAGCTCTCCTGGGCTTAGGCACTAGGAGAATGAAAAGCTGCAGGGGTTCCCCTAATTGAATAGATGTGATGAGTGACTGACTAAGGGAGAAGATACCAGAAGATTCTTATGGTATTGTGATCATAGACTTCCAAGAAAGGAGAGCAGAAAAGATTCTTGTGATATGCGGGGGCCGTTAAGGTTTATAAGATTATTTATGATTGTGTGATATTTATTTAAAATATTTTTACTTTTATATATCCCGAAAGGGGGATTACATTTCACTTAGTATAGCGCTGCACATTCACTTTTTTCACAGTTTTTACAAACCATAGCACAGCAGCTTTTATATTTCACTCCTTCCATAAGCGCAGATTTTACATTATTTCCTTCAGGTTCTCTTTATTGACCCTATCACCTCCAATGCAAGAGTTCTAGCACAGCTCTCCCCTCTCACTTTGTACACGGAGTTATAACCCTGCCGCTCTGCTCACTGCTTCGGCGGCCAGTGAGGAGAGACTCGGCGGCCGGGGGGAGGACAGAACCAGAGGAGAGAGGTAGGTGCATGGGGAAGGGGGGGCGGACAGGCTGCGCACATTTTACAAGTGATCACGGCGATCACTTGTAAACGAACCTGCGGCTTCCCCACACTACATTTAGTCCCGCCTTCCCAAAGCAGGACTAAATGTAGAAAGCAACTTACCGCCCAGGCGCCCGTAACTGATTCCACCCCGCTGCCGCCCCTCTGCTCCCTGGCCCCCCGAGGCCGGACCTCGGTGGCCTTGTGGGGAATCCGGGCCTGGTGATATCTTGATCAGAGATTTGTAACTATGAACCATGCTTTATAGGGATTTTTTTGACTTCCTCTGGATCAACAGGGGGCAGGGGTGGGCATAGCGTTCTGTTTAGGCTTTTCTTCTCTTTTTTTTTTCTCCGTTTCTCTATAGGTTGAACTCGATGGACTTGTGTCTTTTTTCAACCTGACTAACTATGTAACTATGTAACTATGTAAGGCAGCTTTCTTGCAGAGAAACTGCAAAATCAAGAACTCTTGTTACTTATAATGCTCAATGACACCTGTCTTGTACCTAGGCCTTTGGGTTGAAGGATCTGGAATGTTGTATAAAGATCTCCCCTCCTGAGAGGAACCCTTGAAGATACTGGCTGTCATGGAGCACTACTAGAGGAAGCAGGCTGCAGTTGTCCCTGACAATGGAGGTGGTGAGTCACTGGCAGAGTGGGAAAGTAACACAGGAACCTTTCCAAGCTGTCCTGCCTTAAATACGAAGACTGAGATACCTCTAGAACATACGTGTCAAACTCAAGGCCCGCTGGCCAGAACCGGCCCACGACGGAATTATCTCTGGCTCGCCTGATGATAATTATCATTAGATCTGGCCCTGCCCGCCGGCAACTCTCTCACGCTGCCCGCGGCGATCTTCATGGGACTGAGGAGCCGGAGAGCTGCCGCCGGCCACAGGACTGCATTACCCAGCAGGCAGCCTGGCAGCGCCACAGTGTGACAAGGGAGGTGTGGCCCGTGAGGTGACTGAGAGGGGTCCCGAGGTCCAGACCAGATGATGTGAGGTGCTCCTTGGCGGGAATCAGGATCCAACACAGAAGACAGAGAGCCGGGGGAGCTGCAGCCTGCAGGTACTGTGCTGTGACCCTGACAGCCACTATATCACTCCCCTTCTTCTCCATCACTTCTTCTGTACTGTAGATGGAGAAGAGGGGGAGTGATATACTGAAAGTAGTATCTGTGACACCTGTGAACCACCGGCCTCCACACTAGTATGTCATCTAATAGTGTGATCTCTATTATTTAAATTATAGTAAAAAGTATGTGGGGGGGATGCTTACTGGGGACAGTATGGACTCCCTTGATCCCCCACTGATATCTCCCCTGTGCAATGAGGAGAGAAAGCAGGGGAAGGATCCACAAAAGCGGGCACCAGATGGAAAAACGTTTTTGTAAGTAAATTCTTTTGTTGTAAATGCTCTGTACTATTTAATGTCTGTTTTTGGCTTTTATTATTTAAATATTTAGGCTATTTCTTAAAGGGAAAGTAAATAAGAAAGTTTTTTTTTAAATGTTGTATTGTAATTATGTATCATGCTTTTTAATAATTAATTGTACAGGCTTTGTTATTATACCGTGTGATATACTGTATATGCCGCTGTATTATACTGTGTGAACCAGCCCGGCCCTCGACTTGGAGCATTTTTTACATTTTGGCCCACTGTGTATTTGAGTTTGACACCTCTGCTCTAGAACCTCAGGTGCAAAGGATCCTCATTTGAAGTTTAATAGTCCAAGTCATTACAGCCCTGTGAGGAAATGACCTAGAACAGGAAAATATGCAGAAGACAAGGATTGTGTTTTGAGTAGAAATGTACAGATATCCTTTTGGTCCCTCCACCCCTCTTCCTGCCCTCCATGTACATGTGCAATGAAAGTACAAACAAACCTCAACTTCAGTGACTGTTGCCCATCATTCTGTACATCCTATAGGTGGCCATACACTATACAACCATCGCAAGACCATAGTCTTGCGATGGTTGTAAAGTGATTAAAAAATGTACGATCTGCCCATCTTGGACAGGCAGATCGTACTCTCGATCATCGCAAGCCCGCCCCCCTGAGGGGCAGGCTTCCGATGACTGCAATGCTGAACGGGCAGTGTGCGCACACCGGCCCGTTCAGCATTTGTCTCACTAGCACCGTTCAAACCAGCCGAAAATCGTACGATTCTCGGCTGGTTTTCTAACATGCTCGTTAGACAAAAGACGTGCGACCGTACAGTAGAAACGGTCGCACGTCTTCGTTCACACTGCTCGATTCTCGTACGATTGCGGGATTTCCCGCGATTCTCATACGAGAATCGAGCAGTGTATGGGCACCTTAAGACAAAAATCACTCCCCGAGAAGAATGTGCCTAGGACCTTACTGACAACAAAGTGGGCTGAAGATCAATAGTTAGGGCTTGTTCACACCAAGCGCGTTCCAGGAGCAGAGCAGTTACAGACCGGATCAAAACTGCTTCTAATGTATTCCAATGGTATTTTGGGCTTTAGTTCACACCGCAGCGTTCAGTTCCAGAGCATGTAAAAAAACTGCAGCAAGCCCTATTTTACCTGCTCTGGAACTCTCTGGAACACATGCAAACACCCTGGAACGCACTAAAAGCCCATTCTAAACTAAAAATATATATATTTTTTAACAAAAAAACGGCCTGGAACGCATGAAAAACACAGCAAAAACACGGCACAACCCACTGCACTGCGTGTGCAGAAACTCATGCAGATCTGGTCTGCATTTGGTGTGAACAAGCCCTTAGTGATAATTATTCAAAGTGCTTCATTCCAATGTTACATCAGGATAAGCAATTCTTCCTTCCATTGGTGGTCCAGTGTTATGTAAATTCCGTCACCCCCAGGTCACCGAGCCTCAGGTCTCATTAAAAAATAACCCAATGTGTAATATTGTATACATTTATAGGGAAGAACCGAGAGATTCAGTGAGAAAGGATTACCTGTACAGATAGGAACAGGTCCAAAACACACAGCACCGTCCCCAATTCCAACATCTTTATCTGTAAAGACAATTTAAGTGAATGTAAACCCAATCACCAAAATCTAATATATGCTTTGGCATGCAAAAGTAATTTCAAAAGTCATTTTAAATCTTTATAAATCTACAACTTTCATAATAATATCCATGGTCATCCTGCCATTGTTCAGAAGGAGATAGAGAGATACAAAGTAACATTGTTTATAAACATTGATCAGAGGGAGATAGAGAGATACAAAGTAACATTGTTTATAAACATTGATCAGAGGGGAGATAGAGAGATACAAAGTAACATTGTTTATAAACATTGATCAGAGGGAGAGATAGAGAGATACAAAGTAACATTGTTTATAAACATTGATCAGAGGGAGATAGAGAGATATAAAGTAACATTGTTTATAAACATTGATCAGAGGGAGATAGAGAGATACAAAGTAACATTGTTTATAAACATTGATCAGAGGGAGATAAAGAGATACAAAGTAACATTGTTTATTGTTTCATTTGTATGCTGATCAAGTGTCTATGATGTCAGTTAATGTAACTTAATAACTGAAACCTTTTTTGGGGGTTTTTTTTCATTTTTTTGTAGTTGCATTATAATTAAAAGTGCAAAAATTTAAAACGGAAAACATTTTTTTTTTCATTTTGTTTTGGGTTTTTTTTTGATGGATTACATAAAAAACTAAATCATATTTCCAAGTCAGTATCTCTAAAGGAAGCTTTGTTTGTCCTAAAAAAAAGTGATACATGTATTTTTTTTGTTATTTTAAGTGATAACAAATTCATTGCTGAAAAAACAGACTCATAGTGGGAATGTCAAGCTCGCTCTGGTCCATAGGACCGGAATAGGTGTAGAAAGACAGTCATGAAAATGAACAAAAGGTAAGTAATGCTTACCGTGGTACCTGGTCAGATTGATCCCTATCTCTCCACACCCGGGTCACTGGTCAGCTGAAGATTCGATACGTCTTTATATCACGTCGGGGTCAGCAGAAACTGTCCCGGCAAAAATACCAGACCTCGTAAAAAAACAGAGATATTTATGTCCTTGACACGAGTAAGATTTATTCAACATATGTTGGGCAGTATGATAGCCGGCGCACTACTACGTCACAACAGGTTACATTCATTTTTAAGCAAAGGTAAATTAGCATAATTAATGAGACACATCCCAGTGAGATCCCACACTGGGCAGCCATGGAAATACAAATCATCCAATAGTATTCGATTATTTATCACAGCAGTGAAACAGTTAATTGTCTGTAACCGCAAAGTCACTCCCAAATTTATCGTATTTTAAAAAAACTTTCATCAAATCGAAACCTTAATTTTGTGGAAATAACTCTACTCTAGGCTGGTGAGCTGACCTTAGTCAGGTGACTGACACTATACCATATTTGGGAGCATTTGTCGCCTTATCAGCTGTTCACACACCAAGATGCTGCCAATAACAGGAAATTCTGCAAACCTGTGAACCGCAGAACGAGGTTGATAATATCTGCAGAGTCTGTCAAATATATTCTGCAAAACTTGCAAAAACTAAAACTGACAATGTCTACAAAGCTTGAGATTTCTGTATAAAGTCTTTTTTCGTTTTTGTATCTTTTTGACATTTGTGTTCCATTGGGGAGATTTTCCTTCACTTTCTGCTAAAGGAAACGTCTTCGAAGAGAGGAAAATCCCCTCACCATAACAGATGTCTCTAATGGAAGATTTCCACTTTACTTCTGTTCTGGTGACAACTCAAAATGTTAGATTTATCCATCACTTTCTGTTCAGGGACTAGGGTTGCCACTTTTTGGCCAGGCATTTTTTTGGGAGAATGAGTCGTAGCTTATTCATATTTAAATATCACAGTTTTGAAACTATTTTCAGTGGGGGGCCAGTAGCCCCTAACTTAATATTGGTTGCCCCTGTCTGCCTGACATCTTGTGTCTGGGTTTCTGTTGCCATGAAACCAGCATTTAAAACCCGGACTGTCCGTGTGAATCCTGGACAGGTGGCAACCCTGACAGGGACACATAGATAAGATGAATAAGAAGATCTGCAATAAAAACCTGACAGAGGGTCTGACCCTTCTCTATTCCATCCAAAGAAAAAAAACTGATCAACAGATAAACAAGGGAGGAAGCATGATCATATCTATACATCATACAGCCATTAAAAACATGGAACATCAATGGTGTGACATAGGCATCATCAATGAGTTTCAGGTGCGTTTCACGATCAGGACGCAGTACGGCACCTCTGTGAATGCACTGTGACTTCTCTTTGTATGAGAGAAAGATGAAAAACATTTACATTGTGTACAAAACTTTTTATAATGAGAAGAGGATTAAAGGTGTTGCTGCAACTTACCAGCCTGCAGGTCCTGTGTTGCCAGTGTCTCTCCTCTGAGGTTTATATACACGATATCAATCCTTTCAGTTTCATTTTATCATCAATGAATGAAGATGTTTCACCACTTTGTCCTCATACCTCTTTGGCACAATGGTTTAGTAGCACAGGCTGGAAGTCTTTTTTTTTCTGCTGCATTGTCCTAAAAGTTTAACAAAATGTCAAAACCCCACAATCCCTGAACTCCCTCCCATGCTTGTATCTCCCATTATTCCCATAATACTCCAAATATACTGTAGACCAGCTTTTCTCAACCAGGGTGCCGAGGAACCCTGGGGTGCCCACTGCTTTCCTTAGGGGTGCCCAAAAGACAGGCTTCTGGTGTAACATTGGGCCACTGATGTGAAACTTGAGGATTCCGACATGAAAGGGGGGACTGTGATGTGAAAGGGGGGACTGTGATGTGAAAGGGGGGCCTTTAATGTAATGAGGGACTCCGATGTGGAAGGCAAGATTCAGATGTGAAAGAGGATGGGTTTGTTGTAAAGGAGGCTTCTGATCTGAAGGGGACCCACAGTTTCTGTGTGTTTTTGTGTGGGGTCCTACCTTAAAATTCATCACCGACCTCTTTCGCAATAAGGCTTTGGTATAGATTTTGAAGGTGCCACACTTTTTAACATTTTTAGACTGGGGTGCCACAAGATTTTGCATACATTTAAAGGATGCCTTGGCTAAAAAAAGGTTGAGAAATGCTACTGTAGACTTCAGGTTTGTGTTTGGTAGACATTGGCTAGCTTCAGGACAGCACCTGAGCATAGGCAACAAAATAGAAAGAGACAAGCCAGCAAGTATAATCTGAGAAACAGTAGCCACAAATATTGTTCAGTGGCTGGACAGTATCTCAGCAGCTTTGTTAGGCTACAATATAAGAGGGAGAGAGATGAGGTAGGTTTAAGATTGAAATAGAATTGATTGGAGAGGTACTTGGGCTGGCTCTGAAAGGCGGAGTAGCGGAAGATGGTGAACGTCTGCTGAACAAAGTTATTATTGTTAATTTGTTATTTGATGACATATAAAACAGGTCGTACAAAAGGGGATGGAAATGGCTCGGGATTATGGTATTCATGGGGGACAAAGAGCGTTAACATATACCATTGTGACGAAATGGTGATGAGTTTATAAGTTAAATGTGTATTGGTGTTGAGTTATGTTTGAGTGCGTTATGATGTGCGACCTGGTTTTGAAAAGACTATCAGCACCATCCCTCGTTATCTCCCATTGTTTTCTGAGGGAGCTCAGAACAATGACATTCTGGCCAGGCCTGTGCTATGGCTGTCTGGAGCTTTTTAGCAGGGGAAGCCCTGTGGTGTTGAGCAGACCGATTGTCTGGGAGGGGAGGGTGGATGTGATGGGATTATAATCTGATCTCATCACTTGCTGTATAAAAGTTTGTGCAGTTACTCAATAAATCAGAGTTTGTTTACCCTACACTCGAGCCTTGGCTAGTGACTGGGGAAACTGGGAGCTAAGGATCTTCAGGTTGCAATATCTCCTCAGCAAGGAAGAAGACAGCGGCGGACATACTCATCCTGAGTACGGGGGTCCGTCACAACCATAACCTGTAATGTCACGTGGTAAGACCCTTGGCCCTCAACATCTCCTGTACTATTGTACTATTGTACCCGTTATGCCAGAGTGAAGTATGGCTGTTTCTGATCTACTTTATTATATTTTTATTATTACTGTTTCGTGTAACCTGAACAACAATGTGTACACATTTAGGAAACTTTTGAAAAAATGTTGATACTTATGTCTTTTGACAGATACTGTAAACTTGTCTTTATTCGACACAAATAAAAACTATTTTTGGAAAAAAAAAAGATTGAAATAGAATTCAGAGAATCTGAGAGACAATGGCCACAAATATTGTTCAGTGGCTGGACAGTATCTCAGCAGTTTTGTTAGAATGCAATATAAGAGGGAGAGATGAGATAGGTTTTATATTAAAATCAGGGCTGTCTTTACCGCAGGGTAAAAGGGGCAACTGACCCGGGCCCCATAATTTACAAGGGCCCAAAGCAGCTGTCGCTTTAGCCCAAGCATCAGACAGGACAAGCCCAGCAGCAATGCTGGCAGGGAGACCAACCGGCCGTCCTTTCACCTCTAGTTAATGTCTGTGTGCCTCCTTCTTCTGGGATCTCCTTCTTCGATGCCTGTTACATAGACGCAGACATCGGGGAGGATGCCTTAGAGATCTGGCAGGCTCGGAGTAGAAGGAGGGGGAGGACACAGCCAGACACAGCAGAAGAACCAACCTGAGCAGATCCTCAGCATCTGTATTGCAGGTTACACGGTACCTGCGCTGGTCATGATTGTATGGCTGCAATATAATATAGAATATATAGTCCAAATCCCATTTTAATAGGAGCCACATAAGATATTTTTACATTATACTCAGTCCAGGGGCGTAACTAGAAATCACAGGGCCCCATAGCAAAATCTTGTATGGGGCCCTGTGATTTCTAGATAAGTCCACCTGATAACCCAAACAGCCCACCTGAGGGTGACCCTGCAGAGCCCACCATAAACTCTCTATGGTGAGCTCTGCAGGTTCTCAGGTGGGCGGTCCAGCCCTCTTACCTGTCTGGCCGATCCTCTGC